GAAAAAGAGATCTGTACTTCCAATTTGTGAAATGACACCACCTGTTAACCAGAATGATTTTTGTCATAAGTAACATGTTGTAAACAAAGCACAGACTTAGACTAAAAAATAATTTGGTTGATATTTCATTTTATATAAATACATTGAATATAAGAAATATTGATTTAAATATTGGCCAAAAAATCTGAGTTGCAAAGGACACAAAGATAGATCTTAAGCCAAGATATTAGAATAAAGGATTAGAAACTAAATTTCCAAATAAGCAAAAATCTCCCATATTGCTATGCTACTTTTTTAGTGTAGGCAATTAAAATCTTAAATTTGTGTGCATTATGTTTACCTAAAATCACATTTTCTATTAGAAAAGACAGAGTGAAAATAAGATGGAGAATAGCTTCTGCATAAAACATGCAAACAAAACCAACTTCAACCAATGAACACCTTGACAAAATATATGACGCTGCAGAAAACCATACAAAATTATCTGGCTCAATGTCTAAATAAGTTATAGAACTGCCCTTTCCCTTTTTGGTTAATTTAATGTATTCTGAAGAATTACATAAGAGCCTCCAAGTATTTATATCCTTGAAATTTTCAGGTAAGAAAGTATTATGTATGAAAATCCAGTTTTACATTATTGCAATATTGTTGTTTACACCAAGATATAATAAAAAGCATAGTGACTCACCTGAAAAAATGCTGAGAATCCAGGGTCTTTCATAATTCAAGTTACCTAATTCTTCTTTATCACCCTATGTAGCCTATGTAATCCAACTCTATGGCCATGGCCAAGATATTTTAAACTTGCAATATTATACTAATAGGACACATCTTGAAATTCATAAATTTGCAAAAATCTTCTAATGTGGTATTTTCTGTGGACATAAACTCTGAATTGTTTGAAGTCCCATGTTTGCAACAATATTAAATATTTCCAAGATATAAAAAGGAATCCTACATTTCTTCTGGTTAGAGGAGAAATTGAAGAAAAAGAAAAGATCTTTGTTCTGAGAAGCAGTGAAATAAGGCCTAAGCACATTCACCACCAAATAAGCAGCGTTGGTGGACACAATATTCCATAGTAAAAAAGCTAGCAATAGCAATGTAATCTCAGAGAATTGCTGGGAGTGGCTGAAGAATTCCGGCGTTGCACATTTCTGCTTCCAGGTACTATGAACAGGATTTTTCATTCACAAGAAATTCATGGGTTGCTTTCTCCTGGCATATGATGGAGAGGAAGGGGAAAAAGTTTGGATATATTTATTTCTTACTTCGATGGCCTATTAAAGCTTTCAACAAAAATATATCCTTTGGAAATGTGAAAACAATCATGTTCTTCTTTTTTCCCCTCCTTTAAGTGTATGAGAAAGGCAAAATATATGAGGAAAAACAGAATGAACAAACTGGCATAGTTTATGAAAGATTTATATACAGTATTCATTTTGCTAACATAAGGGCAAATGTAGAATTATAAGCTTTTTTATCATAAACAAAATTAGATTTTCAGGATCATATGCTCATTACTGAAAAATCCCACAAATAAAAATTTGTTCATGGAAAAATAGAGATACTTTGAATACTAAAGTCCTTTATTCAACAACACATAAATTTCACAAAAAACAACTTTACTGGGCAAATTGAATGTGTTTTTTAAAGTTTTTTTTTTTTTACAGTTTTGTACATGCCCTATAAGTAATTTTCTTTAATAAATACACTGTTTTCCAAAACTGCTTTTTTTTATAATTGCACAAGCATACATACACCTTACACAAATATCTGTTAGAAAATTTAATAGATAACTGCACAGTTCAGAATACGAGAGCACTGTGAAATGAGTACATTTTGTGGTCCATTCCTGAAACTTCTCTGACTTCCTTGCAGTTGTGAAAATTGAACCCCTTCTAACACAGTAGCTGTCTTCCATTCACCAGGAATACAGATCTCAGTGTGAAACTGCCAAATTTAATAAAAACAAAATCTGAAACATTTAGCTATTACATGAGAACCAACTGCTTGATATCCCTGTGATCAAAGACCCACTACGGTTTTTGCTGAACATATTTGACCCTAAATGGTGTGTTCATTTAACGGCTTTCCTTTTTTTCATTATTTGATTACAGATACTATCAGCTTAAACACTTTCTATGCTTTAGGATTAATTGTACAATTTACATGTCAGGGGTTCTGAATAAAAGGAAGGGAATATCCTTTTCTTTTAGTGATTAGTTAATACTAATTCATTCATAGTCAGCCCACCATCTCTTGCTCCTTATAAATGTTTAGAAGAAGGAAGCTGTGTATTTGGAATTAAGCAACCAGGAGATGTCTTTATACACTCTTACAATGGAGGAAGACATTTTTTTTTCTCCCAAGCATAGATACATTTCTACTTTATTCCTCCCCTTGTACACAGACAGATAGAATTCATCACAAAGCCACTTTAGTCTGAAGACCTAGAAAAAAAGGTTTACATTATGATGTTCTTGTGATGTTAGGGTGCTAAGTGACAGCTGACAAGGAAATTGACACCCAGAGATTTTCCATGCTCCCCCCCAAAATGCTGACAGAATATAGCATTTCCTCATCTACACCGAGACAAAGCAAGACTTCTGTGTATGTAGACCGCTCTTACAAACTATTTTATTTGACTTAGCTGATAGGAAATTTTTAAGGTGTATTGATAGTCCACCCGATCTATATTCCATTTTTATATTTTAAATTTTCTTGGTGCTGAATATAAAACATACAGTGAGGAATTTTAAAAGTTGCCTTTCATTGGTATTTTAAAAATCATGAAAATGTAAACCTTTAAATCATTCCCTTAGGGTTATAATGATATGCTTTACAGCTCTTGGTACATAGACTTAGAGAAAGGAATTAGAGTGAGGCCGGAAGAGTAATATCCTTCTTCAACATCATCAACGAGAACTTTATATGCACTCTACATTATATAAATAGAGTTTTAGCAAAACCAAAGAAATGGGTAAGTGTAAAAGAACACTGTCAAGAATAAGAACATATAAGAGAATTAAAGAAAAGCTATACATTTCCATTTTAATAATCAACAGATTTTCTTTCATTAAAAAATTGAATTGACATGTAAAACACCACATTTTACAATATACAGATTCATAAGTTCTTTAAGAAAACGAACAAACAAAAACACATCAAGACATGCAACACTAGCATGTATTTTAGACTCTTGGTACATTGCTATGAGATCTTTATATGTTACTGTATGCCTAATGCAGTCTGAAGGGAAAGAAGTTTGCTTCACTGCTGTAATAACAATCATCGTTTTCCAAAAAGCAAGGCAAGCTTCCCATTCAAGTGTGAAAGTTAGTTTTCACTTACTTGTAAAAATTATCAAATTGATTTTAAAAATAAGTAAAATAAAAAAGAACTAGAAATAATTCATATAGCTCTCTTCTCCCACAGCTGGAATAGAAATTCTATCTAGAAATCCTCAAAGGAATATATAGCAAGTGGGAAGTGATCTCAAAACTAATATACAGCATGTTTTAGTTTGCGATTATTTAATTCTCTTCTCTAAACATGGATAGGTGTAACAGATAATGAATTTTCCTCAAAAAGGCTTTTGGACCATAATTGTGGACCTTGCATTCATATTCCAGGCAAGTTAAAGCACACTTTAACATTGGCATTTGTCAGCACCTTATCCATCCCTCCCTCCAGAATTCTTATGGTGAATGCTCCTTCCATGTGTTTAAAAATCTCCTCTGTTCTATTACTTCCAATTCAAAACTAGAAATAGCCTTTTAAAATTATTCATCTGCTAGGCTTTCTAAAGTTTTGCAGTCTTTTTCACCACCCTTTCTCTTCCCAAGTTATTTTTCTTCACATGATACATTTTGCTAACATTTTTCAAAAGGCTAATGGATGTGTAGGCTGAAATAAGTGGATAAAAAAAAAAAAAAATGACAGTAACATGGCAACTTTGATTCTCTATGTGTTTTTGCTAAACTCTATTTTATTGCTGAAGTTGAACAGTCTCTGACAAGAAAGAAAGAAAGAAAGAAGAAAGAAAGAAAGAAAGAAAGAAAGAAAGAAAGAAAGAAAGAAAGAAAGAAAGAAAGAAAGAAAGAAAGAAAGAAAGAAAGAAGGAAAGAAAGAGGGAGGGAGGGAGGGAGGGAGGGAGGGAAGGGAGGGAGGGAGGAAGGAAAGAAGGGAGGAAGGAAAGAAGGGAGGAAGGAAGGAAGGAAGGAAGGAAGGAAGGAAGGAAGGAAGGAAGGAAGGAAGGAAGGAAGGAAGGAAAGAAGGGAGGAAGGAACTTCTTAGGTATCATGTCATCACAAATAATAATTGTCCTACTGGGACAGCCTTAGGAGCCCCAACTGCCATAAGCAAACCAAATTCTATGTGAAAAGGTAGCCCGGGTCCTATGAAGCATACTCCTTTGTGTTTAGGGGTTGTTTACATTTATGGAATTCTCTGGAACCACAGCATCCTTGATGACAAGAATGGGAATGGGAGCAATGGAACATTCCACTGAGGGCCTAGGGGAAGGCCACTGGTCCAAATAGGAGGCTATGAGAAAGGAAGATAACAAAAGATTTAAAAAAACCTCACTTTTATGAATGTGTTTAATTCCTTTTACTTAAAAGTATACCTAGCCATGTCTCAAGGCAGAAGCTTTGATATGTTCAAAATGTAAAACAAAACTACCCATTTAATATCATACATGGAGTTAAAACATGTGGATACATTTTATTAAGTGTTTATTTTTCCTACCAAAAACATAAAAATAAGGCAAAAAATAAACAAACAAAAAATACAGCCCCTGCTGCGCTAGTAAAAAACTCAGTCATGGATTTCTCCCCTTACAATATGATACTTTTTTCTGTACCCTAGAAAACACTGTTTTAAAAAAATTTATACAACTGATTCTGCATGTTCCAACTACTCAGAGTACTCCGCCTTACAGTGCAACCCAAGACAAGTCAACTACACTAAGTATTTGGGAGGTATACCCTTCTGTACAGCTCGTTTGTAAGCAATGCAAGTGCATAACCACTACTCTAATATAGTGCTCAAAAGATTAATTGAAACTTTCATCACATCTTCCCTCCTATAACAATACAACTGCAGGTAATTGCCGGATGCAGCGTAATCTTTTCTTCTTGTGAAACTTGGCATCGAGTCTCTACTGAAAGATGCATGGCAAAACATGCCACCGCTGTTGCTGCTTCTAGAAACAACTGGCAAGAAATATTTAAAGCTAAAATTTATTGCTCCAGATTTAACTCGCAGAACCACACTGTTGTGTACAAACTGTTAATCTCCATAGATGCTCAGACGTGATTGTCTCCTTGTGTCTAGACACACAAAATACAAGCTGCTATCTGTACAGTTTACAGTACTGAAACACATAGATTTGAAAATGAAGTATAGATATGTACTTTGCAAAGATACATGATTTTACAGCAGGGGTTTACCCAAACTTATTTTTTACAGCCACTTTCAAAATAGACAACAACGTCACTAGGATAGCTAAATTACATCAAAGAATCAGTGTATCCAAAGTAAATAGACTGGCCAATTCCCCGAGCTCCCCGATTATTTTGATATGTCTTTTTTTCTTTTCTTTTCCTCTTTTTTTTTTGAAGAAACCCCTATACATAAAATGAAAATAATATCTGGATATTTTCTTCAGTGGTGGACTAAGCAGTTCCTTAAAACAAGACATTAGTTTGCCCTTCACTTCCAAATGCCTTGAAAATAAGATAGACTACTGCTTTAAAAGAACCATCGGAATGCTTCGGCGCTGGGAACAGGTGTTCTCTATAAAAAAAGAGCAAGAAGACAAGTTAAGCTTACTTTCTATGCCAATATAAAATTAGAATTTTCTCCTTTATTCTTCAGCAATAGTTTTAGTCAGTAAGGTACAACATAAAGACTTGTATATTTCAACATTTAATAAAAAATAGATGGTCAATCTTAGAACACTACAAAAATTAGAATATTGAATTTAATGCTGACTTACTAAATATAATGATTAAAACTCATTGGTCTAAAAATAGAGGAAACACAGTGTAGAACAGGGATAGCAATTAGAATGAATGGGATGGTTCATGCCATTAGTAATAGGAGGACCAGCTAGGAAGTGTCGTTAAAATCTGTACCTGCTACATACACATGCACCCTCTGTAAGACCAATGTTTAGAACTCAGTGAAGTTATTTATTTTTTGTTCTGGAGAACTTCTTTTATGACAAGACCACAATAAACATTATATAAATATTACTTCTATCACTTAACAACTATTAATGCTAAATATTCCTACAGATAATCTAATCAGAATTAGACTGACAAAATATATCACTATTTTAAAGTAAGTCTGCATATTCAATAAATTAATATAATCTATATGAAACAAACTTATACTAACCAATGATTCTCAATTGACCATAACTACCCTTTTGTACCATAAAAATACTACCATATTCCAAAGGAATAATAAACTAACACCAAAAGTTTGAGCAACCGTTTCAACAAAAAGCTAATAGTTACAATGGGTTTTTTTTTATTCAATCGTAGTTAAACTATTAAATTTTCCTCTATATGTTAACATTATAGCAATCCATCATGCCACACTCTTTTTTATAAAACAGAATCCCGTAGGTACATATTGAAGGTACATAAGAAACAAGCTAAGAGTAAATTTTCTCATAAGGGCAAATGAGAGTTAATTTTATTCCTTGTTAAACTAGTCCAACCAGCCTGTGTAGACTATAAGATGGCTGCTGAGGATAAATAAGTAAATTAACTGTATGTTGACTGTTACAAAAATATTGAGTTAGTATAGAAGTACATGTACACACACACACACACACACACACACACGCACACACACCTTATAGAGTGTTAACATACAGTGTTAATAATATTTGAATTTCGTATTTCAGAAAATTCATAAAAAGTCCTACCACAAATATTTTTTGATAACTGGTTAGCTTTTATTTACTTTCTCACACATGCCTTATTCGATTGATACAGTCCTGCAGTAATGTCATCTAAAAATAAAAGTGTACTAATTGATCAAGATGTTAATTGAAATTTAAATATATAAAATAATCATTTTGGAAAGCAGAACTGTTTTCACTACCTGTACTTAAAATGTTTTTTTATAAACTGTCCTCACAGCCAACACAATAAAGTTCAACATGAATATGGTAAGAACAAACTAGTGGTATCTAATCCCAATTTGCATATAGGTATATATGTATAAACCAAAATATTTAACTTGTGAAGCATTTTCTGAAAGCACAAACTAAAAGGTCGTTGTTCCCACAAAAATGCTACTTATCTTACTAATCTTTTACTCCCCACTCCTTATGGTTTCATCCGTTTCCTTCTCTTCAGGTCACTGTGCATACCTGGAGCCCTAGTCATTGCTTGGTTTTTGAGAAAAAAACCTGTTTACTGCTTTCTACGCTTAACTTTTGAATGATAAATGTAATAATGATAAATGCTCCTACATGCACTTAACCATTATTAAAGGAACTATGAATAAGAAACAATATATTCATTCTAATATTTATGCTTCACACACACACACACACATACATACGCACAGTAAATGCAAACTTAGTTTGTAACAGATGCTAACTTGCTGCCTGATGCCAACTAAGAATAAATTTTATTTATGTATGCATACTTATATGAATGTAGTCATTTTTAACAAGTTAGATCCAAGCATATCCATGCAATTACAGATTCACATATGAAAAATAAAACATGTGCATTTATATTCACATATATTCACATTTACATGTATGGTATATGACATAGAGATGCCAAATTTACTCTCAGATGCCAACTGGAAACAAGATTGTAAATATATGCTTATATAATTTTGTATCTTGATAAACATATGTTTATGAAGATAAACAAAAAAATACATGGAATACATTTTTTAATGAGATGAACTCCTTATGTCTTAGATATTTTAAACTTTCTTTTCCAGCTCTTTGCTCTGCCTGTGACCCTTTCCACTACTCACTGTTATTTATAATATTTTTAAAAAGACAGCTTTATAAAATGCCACCTGGGCTGAAAGGTCAATGTTGTGAGAAAAAAGATAAGCACTTCTCAATGCTTGTTGGCACAAAAATTAGATAATGCAATGAGAGAAGCACAGAGCTGGTTTTCTATACTAACAAGATCTGTCACAAAACAGCTCTGTGATGTGGGCATATTACTGTGCATACGTTGAAACCAGCATATATCTCTACATAAGGATATGGACAACCCACTGCCCCAGGGAAAGGAAGAAGGTAAGCAGGGAAACATCTCTTAAAAAATATTTCTCTCTTATATTAATATCTTTGATTGAGGTCATACAGCCTAAAAAATGATTAGGTGGGCACCATTTAGAACAAATTTTCAAGGCATTCACTAGAAACTTGAAGTGATACTTCTCTAACAGTTTTACTAATAAAGAGTAACAAAGCTCCTCAGTGTCCCATAGGCCACAAAACAGGATGCAGAGCCAATCTCCTGCCCAAATTTTATTGGGCTCATTGGAAATTTATGTTAGGCCTGGACTAAGTTCTTTTCAGGATGGGTGAAGCAACACTGTAATATATTAGATTAACATCAGGCAACATCTTGGGTTAAATTACAGGTTTCTGATTGTACTAATTTGGGGATATATCTTCTCTAATTTTGTCAGCGGATGAGGTCGTCTTTATCAGAGGGTTTCCATTTTAAATGGGTGGGAGCTCTGGGGACCAATGTGGGGGATTATGCACCCCGACCAGCTAGCTACCTTTGAGTTATATAAATTCAAGAGTCCCAGCTGGGGAATCACACTCTTGATGAGATTACAGTGACTTTCTGGATCTCAGTGATGCTTGCAGGAAATCGTTATCCTGAGTGACAGGAAAGCCAGATTCCCCAGGAAGGGAAGGGGGCGGGAGGTAAAGAATAGAATTGAGTTGATGGGCATTGTTCAAGGCAGCCTTCACTGCTCATGCAGGTGCAAACACTGACGAACAGCAGCGTTGCTCCCAGGAGGCCTGGGGAGCCGGCTGCAGCCCCCCTTTCTCTTTCCGGTTCTGCTGTAAAGCATCGTGTTCCAGAGAATTCATCCCTATATGAGCCAGATATGAAATGACCTTCAAGCTTAAGTGAATGCCTTCTGTTTCCCTCCTAAATAACCTTAAAAAGCCAGCACATTTCTTTGAATAGAAGAATGATATAATCCAAGTCCAAGCACATTTTACATTTACTTTTATATTTAAGAAAAAGAAGAATACATATCCATGTCCCTGGAAGAAATGTAATTCGGTTTGATTTTCATCAAATCAGCAATGAAGAAATAATTAAATGACATAAAATAAATAAGATTCCCAAAAGCTGGCACTTTAAGGATTAAGCATGTTTCTTTTTTTATTGGTGCCTGCTAAGCAGTCACGGGGACTATGGTATCTTCTGGCTGATCAGGGCTTTACATTCTCTTGTTAAAAATATATCAAGCTTAATAAAAACTTACCTCCTAAAAAGTGAATTTGGAGTATCTACAACTTTGTATATATGAACTATATTGGATTGGCTATTCCTATCTAGATACAATATGTAAAATGTAGCAGTATTCTGGACACAATAAAATGCATTATTTTTAATAGAGCTAGACATGAGTTTTCAAAAAGCAGCTCAATGTTAAAATTTACTTCAGAATGCATGTTATAAATTGAGATAATAATTATGACATTAGCAAATTCTGTAACTAAAGTTAAATATATCTTTATATTTACTCATACACTTTGAAATCCAAAAGTCTCAATGATTTGCCTATGCCTTCAGAATTCTACTGTGAAACAGGATGACTCTAATGCAGTGATTTCCACATGGAAGTCAGTATTTTAAAGCACCAATATTCTTACACTAATTAAAGAATAATTTCCTCCAATCCCATTTTTATTAATAAAAGAAATATGTCATCCAATAATTTTCTGATTCCCATAAATAATGATGCTTATCTAACCAAAAGCAAAGACATTTGAAACTGTACTTAGCCAATGCAGCCTCTTGTAAACTATTTTGAAATATTGTTCTCACCATGAGAAGTTCCACTATACGTTTTTAAACTCTTGGCCATCCAAGGCCTTGGAATTGGAAACACCGCTGCATTTGATTTGCCTCTTCATGCTAGAATTTGAAAATCTTAACGAACCACTGAATGTGGCAATAAAACATATCTGAATCAATATGACAAAAGATAATAGTAAGTCCCATTGCTTGCTTTTAGATATTTGATTATATTTGCTTCAAACGTTTGGATTTTTTAGATGAACAAAAGGAAAAGAATTCCGGGTGGTGGGAAAAAAATACTTTTTTCATGATTTAATTCACAATGATGCTAAAATATCAAGTTATTTAGGTTAACCATTTTACTGACAAAATTTCAAAACCCTTTTACTGACAAAATTTCAAAACCTACCTGGCTAAATGGAAAACTGTATATATATATATAGAATGAATGTGAATACACACACACATGCATATGAATACAAATCTTTGGATAATTAATTGGTCTAAAATGATACTTAGCAAATGTTAGAGATGCCCCAAAATGGTTTTAGCAGAAATATTTTCCCAGATCCTATTTATAAATAGCATATTTAAAAATCATAATCCAGCAACTATAACAGAATTATTAGCAAGCACAGATAGAGCATAGGTAAGTATGAGAGACAATTTATGATAGATGATAAACTCACAGTGCAGTAATTTACTATTATATTCAAAAGCAACTTTATATTTTAATAATACCTTAAT